TGGATATCGGGTGTGGCTTTGGCGGGTTGCTCATTGGGCTCGCGCCTCTACTGCCGGAGTCGTTGATAGTTGGTAGGATACGGGACACATACGCATACACATACTCTGCTAGAGCAGTGCTAACAGAGCATGGAAACCAGGCATGGAGATCCGCGTCTCGGTCCTCGAATACGTGACGACGCGCATCCAAGCCCTCCGGGCCCAGCAGCATAAGCTCAGGGCTGCAACTGAGACAGGAGCAGCGGCGGAAAATCCATCTCAGCAGGAAGCCCAGCTAGATGGGAAGCCTACCAACGCAAACGCAGCTGCAGATGCAGCCTCCCCTGCCCCCTCCACCGACACCGAGCACACCCCGACCACGCTCGTCCCGGGCTCCTACGAAAACATCTCCGCAATCCGCAGCAATACCATGAAATTCTTCCCTAATTTCTTCGCCCGCCACCAACTTTCCAAGATCTTCATATGCTTTCCGGACCCGCACTTCAAGGCCCGCAAGCACAAGGCTCGGATTATCTCCGAGACGCTGAACGCCGAGTACGCCTACGCTCTGCGGCCCGGTGGGCACTTGTACACTATTACCGATGTGGAGGAGTATCATCATTGGATTCTCAGGCATTTTGGGGTGGAAGCTGGTGACGAGGAAGGGAATGAGGAGAAGAGCGCGAGTGCAAGCGCAAATGCTGGGGTGACGGACCTCTTTGAGCGGGTTTCGGAGGAGGAGCTGGAGAAGGATGACTGTGTACGGGTTATGAAGGAGGCCACAGAGGAAGGGAAGAAGGTGGCTCGGAATAAGGGGAATAAGTACGTGGCTGTCTTTCGGCGCAAGGCGGATCCTGAATGGCCTGCATGACTCCTTGGTTGTTGAGCATTTCGACTGCAGTCACCAATATGATACAGGCATTCGCAAAATACAAACTGAGTACGGATGGTAATGGCATTGATAGATTTGCAACATGCTATTCTGAAAAAGACGCTGCCGGTCGAACTCCACAGTATGATTCAAACCAAAAAATCACAGTCTTACAGCACCCGCTGCATGCAGAAATCATACCATATCGCTGTAAATCCCGCTTGCTTGCATATGCAGTCATCTCAAACACAGTAGGCAAAATCTGAGAAGATCAATCAAAAATGCAGAGTGTAGATCGTAATCTTGAATGGCAGCGAGCCTAGGTTGAGCATCATCACTTGGATGATGCCTTGAGTCGGATGCTCTCACATCGCTCACATACAGCCAACTGAACAGGACCCCCAATGATCCGTCCTTTGGACGTTCGCTTGGGCTCACCCTCTCGCACGAAATACCGGCCATCCGGACCGAAGCCGTCGCCACACTCGTGACAGACGAAGCATTCACTGTGCCATTGGCCCCCGACGGCGCTGACCACGACATCCTCCAGGACAGGACTCTTGCAGCCCAGGCATCGAGGCGCGGTCCGTCGAGAATGGCATTGAAGGCACCATGCGAACCCGTCCTTTTCCACAAAAGGAGTGTTTGAATCGAAGGGCTATAACAAAAATTAGTCGGGTTCGCTTACAGTGTTGGACAAGGTCAGAACATACATCACCACATTCGGCACAGAAAAAATGACCGACATGCCACTCGGCTCCGCATGCCACGACAATTTCGCCTTCAATCGGGGTCTTGCAGCTCTTGCACCTGGGGCTGAACTTCTCATGGAAATCCAGATGACAATAGAAGCGCAACATATGCGCCTCCTCGTCGTCACTTGGTGCCTCCGCCAATCGCTCATTGCGCTTGGCATCGGGCTCCTGATAAAAGGCCACACATTCTAAGGGCGTATGGCAATGATGGCACACGAAACACTCCGGGTGAAAGCGAGCCCCCGCCGCTGTGACAATCTTCCCTGCAATGGGAAGCGAGCAGGACTCGCATTTCGCTGTTGGTACTCCAGAGCGCGTGTACGTTGACAACCAGGTTTTCTCTGAGGACTGCGCAGCTTTCGGAGGAGATGATTGCGGGCGGTGCCTTGTGGTCACTGGATCTGGCAGAGGCCTAGTACCTCCCCTTCCCTTCGGAGATGGTGCTGCCATTTCCGAAATGGTGGGCGCCTTCTCGTCCGGAACATTGATAACCGGTATCGCCGGCGGCTCGGATACTTCAATAGTAGGGGCAGCAGGCTGCAGTGGTGGTGTCGGGGAGGCCGAATCCTGCCTCAAGCTGTCACGCTTTTGCGGCGACTGGGCCTCAGTGGGCTTCCAAGTCGGGTCAAAACTCACGATCGGCCGGCCAACGCGATTACTGACGGCTGTGGGCATAGGCAGCTTTGTGCTTCGATCTTTAAGCTTCTTACTTGTAGCCGCCCTGATTTCCTCGCTGCGAATCTCAATCCCATTCTTCGTAGGGACGGCCTGGACCGCCTGAACGGCCTGCTCTTTGTCCGCCTCTTCATCCGGGACTGCTTGCGGGAGCGGGCCATTCGTCCTATAGTCTGGATTTCTCGATTGGGTTGGGTGTTGTTTATGTAGCTCGAACCGCGCCAACTTGTCAACGAACGGAAGACTGCTTAGTCGTCCCGGAAGGGGTCGAGAGCCTCGCGGTAGGGCATTGCGTGGCTTTGTTCTGAGAGCTGATGAGTCGGATCTAGAAAATTCCGGTCGCCCATCCTCCTCGCAGCCATGAGGGTCTTTCGGTTCCTCGTAAATAGAGTCACGAGGATTTCGAAAAATCCCTCTCGATGACTCGGTACCGAATCTGGAAAGACATGAGTTGCCGCCGCCTCTAGATTTCGAGGGCGATTCCTCGGCGGGCAACGCAAAATCGACTCTGACATTCTTCCGCGGCCCCGAGGACTTTGTAGGGCTGCTTGCCGAGTCCTCTACCACTTGCTGGCGTTGTCGGTCATGCTGTAGAGCTAAACCTGTCCCCCCAGCGTCAGCACGATGGCTGTCAGAAGAATTTTCTGAGGTCGATCGATGATTATTCATGGGCCCGCCAGTCTTGTCACTTTGGGTGTGAGAACGGTCAGCGCTCTTTGGCGACTGGGATGATTTGTCCAGGTCGGGGTTATGATACGGCGCATATGGGTTTTTGTAGGGCACGCCGGGGTTCTGATGTATCCAGACTAGCTCCGTGGCTTCGTCTTGTGCAGCGTGATGGAGGCGTATCTCATCATGCAAGTCCAATCCCTGCAACGCATCCCGCAAGGAGCGTGCTTCCTCCTTCTCTACCCGCCGCTGACCACTTTCACGATAAACAGGATTGGGAGATGGAGGCGACGGGCGCGAGAAAACATGCGATGGCGAAACAGTCTTGCGTATCGGCACCATTCTTGGTTCCTGTACTAATGGGCGCCCGGCTGAGCTCCCCAAGGAGACGTGGGGTTCGAATGGGCGATGGGATGACAGAGAGCTGCTGGCTCGAGGGCGCTCTGCCTCGGGCGACGTAGGCTGGGCGCTGGGGTGTCCATACATTGACATCGACGACGACGCTCGAGGAGGGAGAGCCTCTCGAGGGGTTGAGCCTGATCCTGCTGCTCTTGGTGGAATGGGTCTAGATCCACTCGGTCGGGCTGGTCGATTCGTTCGCAAGTCTTTCAGATAGTTTGCTGGAGATTAAGTCACATTATTAGCTCAAGGTAATCACGGAGCCAACCTCAAAAGTGTCACACTGTCAAAAACCGCGACAATTTCCAAGAATGTCATGAGTCAGCCAGCAATGCAAACTCACCGAACTGATCGCTGGACATATAAGTCGGGCCCGGGGGGGAAACCTTCCGCTGGCCCTCTTTGGCCTTAGAATGGCCGGGAAGATGAGGTCTATGCATCATCCTGGTCTAGCTTCTTGAGATGTGAAGAAGTCTAAGACGACAGTAGGGACTCAATGGAGATGGAGATCTCTCTGATGAGTTGTACTCTCAGCTCAAAGCTAAGTAGATAAGGTACCTATGGAGTCACGGCAGAGCCAATAGGCTCGCAGACGGTGGCTGGAGTGACAGGGATGGAATGAACTAGAGAGATCTTCTAGGTTGATTAAAATTATGATGAGTTTAGATTAGAATATGCTTAGATTGGATTGTTCAAGTAGATTAAGAATTTGTAATTAATGCAGGGTATCCAGTGATACTCTACTAACTCGTCTTATTATTGCTATCGTGCTATCATCCCCTCGTCCTGGGAGATGGAAGCTATGACCACCACAACAACAAAGGTGCAAACGGGTCAAACTTCCCGTCGCGAGGCAACGCGGGGTTGTGCTTATGTCAGCTGTTGACACCTTCTGGCCCTAAGCCTGGATAATTCTAGCGCCTTTCGGACATTTGTCCTCCTCGTGGCGATAGTACCTCGTTAGTATGTACCTAGGGTACACTGCATAAATAATCCCGAGGATGAAAGATATTGGACATGACTATGACTGGCGATGGCAGATGTAAAGGAGATGTCTGCCTATCGAGTACAGAATCATGATGTGAAAACCATGCTTAACCTGGTTTCCACCGAGCCTTGCGTTCTGATCCGTCTTCCCCAGAGTATCAGCCCAGTTAGAGAGGTACTCCACCAGTTTAATCTCTACCTTCAACTTCCAGTCTCCAGAAAAACAACAAACTACCTACAGAGTATCTACAGACTTCAAAGAATCCATGACTCCGCACCGCTTAATCGGCACGGTAGCTGCTGGTTGATCCATGTGCCGTCTACCCAATGATGACGCATGGACAGTCGGATAGATCGCCGAAACCGTATGGCCAAGGGGCCGTTTCTAAAAAGCGTCAAACCGATGACAAACCGTTTTCTTTTTGACTCCTTCTCACCGCAAGAGATAGACTAGACTGAATATATTGTCCTGTGCTTATATCTCTCTTGCTAAAATCCGTCATGCTGTTCCTGATCACCTTACGTTCCCTCTTCCTCGAACTACTCATGGGGTCCAAGTTCGGATTCTGCTTGCTGTGCTCCTGATGTGTATGATCGTGGTGTTGACAAGCATATTCAACTCGAGCCAACCTGCCTTTGCGTAGGATTCACCATTCCAAGTTGCAATGGCAGATAATCCCCCAATCGATATTATTCGTTCAACAGATCGTGACCGAGATCCGGCCGCTGAGGACCCTCTATACAAGAGGGATCATCGACAGGATCTGAATGAGTCAACGCCAGTAGCAGAACCGGACCACAAAAATTCCCAAGATGTGCCTGATGGCGGTTATGGATGGGTCTGTGTGGCTTGTGTATTCTGGATCAATGCGCACACTTGGGGCATCAACAGTGTAAGTACCAGTTATGCCTGGCGGAATGAGGACTAATCATTTCTATGCAGAGCTACGGGGTCTTTCTTTCTTATTATCTCTCACACGATGTCTTCCCTAACACTAGTGCGCTGTCGTACGCCTTTACTGGTGGTCTGAGTATCTCCTGCGCGCTCCTCGTTGCACCTCTGGCCACACATCTGATCCACCTCTTCGGAACGCGGTCCGTCCTCAACCTAGGCGTCTTCTTCGAAACCCTCTCCTTGATTGGATCCTCCTTCGCCACGCAAAAGTGGCATATCTTCCTTAGTCAGGGCGTCTGTTTCGGATGGGGCATGGGCTTCCTGTTCGTTGGTAGCGTGGGGATCACTCCGCAGTGGTTCCAACGGCGAAGAAGTCTTGCAATGGGCATCAACGCCGCCGGCTCAGGACTGGGAGGCCTGATCTGGTCTCTAGCGGTAGGCGCCATGATTCCCTGTCTTGGTCTAGGTTGGACATTCCGAATCCTCGGCCTTATCGCCTGCGTAGTCAACCTGGTCTGCGCCAATCTCCTCAGAGACCGCAACAAAGCCGTCGGCAGCCGCTTCAAAGCCTTCCACATGCCCCTGCTGAAACGGCCAGAGTTCCTCCTGTTCCTCGGTTGGGGCATCCTAACCATGCTCGGCTACGTCGCACTTCTCTTCAGCATCGCCAACTTCGCCCTCTCCGTCGGCCTCTCCCCGCACCAGGGCAGCATCGTCAGCGCCTTGCTCAACCTCGGCCAAGGACTCGGCCGTCCCTTTGTGGGCATGTTCAGCGATAAGTTCGGCCGCATCAACATCGCCACTTTCCTCTCTTTCCTCTGCGGCCTGTTCTGCCTCGTGATCTGGATCTTCGCCCGGAGCATGGGTCTCGTTTCCTTCTTCGCCGTCCTCGTCGGCACTGTCGCAGGCACATACTGGGCTACCTGTACCCCCGTGGCGGCCGAGATCCTCGGTCTCCGGGACCTTCCCAGCGGCCTCAGCATCACCTGGCTGACTCTCGTGCCTCCAACGACGGTCTCAGAGGCGATCGCCCTATTGCTGCGCGATAACAAGTCCACAGATTCGAAGTATCTAAGGGTGCAGATCTTCACGGGCTTCATGTATATCGGCAGTGCCCTGTGTCTTTGGCTTGTCCGAGGCTGGAAAGTAGGCGACTTGGCTCGCGCCAAGGAAGAAGCTATCGCTGCGGTTGACCCCCGACAAGCAGGTGATGGTGCGGCTGGGAATGTGCCTTCTGCCGAGCCAGCCGAGGACGCTGAAACCGAGAAACATGGTCAAGCGGTTGATCCTGCATTCTCCATGCGCGGGACGTCGAATCTGAACCCCTGGACGCCTGCAACCTTGTTACGTGGAATGGTGGCTTTAAAGCGGGTATGACAGAGATGCGCAATCTACTCGTTGTTGCCGGGGTTTGTTTGAGTCCGCATTATGATACCCTACATCCAGTTTTCAATCCGTCCTTATTACATCACTCTAGGCTTGGAAGTATTATACATTTGAGTGATCAGGCAGCCGTCGCAAATGTATTTTCGTACCGCTGAACGCCAGTAACCCTATGTCTATGCTTCACATCCGATATCGTAGTAGTATGGCAAGTTCGAAATTTTTTAGATCCCTGGCCCCAGAATCAATATCCGCACACGTCTCTTTCCAGCTCCACGGCCACCTTCTTCCTTCACCGAGCTGACATTCACCTTGACTCGCTGGAAGAGCTCGACGGTAACGCCACGTTCCTTCTCAGGATGTCCCTTCTCGGAGACACGGAGCGTGTACTCCTCGCCGTCAAAATCGCTTTCCCGTCGCACCAGCAGCTCCCGCCTTTCCTCGACGGACCGGACTGCCGACTCGCCGGGAAGTACGAAATCCTCCAGGCGGACAACGCCCTCAATTCCAAAGCGGGGAACGAAGACAACCACGCCGTTCTCAAAGACGCGCATGACGTATCCTTCTTCCTCAATACCCGCATCAGCGCCATCGGCCGCCATCTTCTCCCCACGTGCCTTGAGCGCCTGTCCAACGTAGTACTCGATGCTAGCACGGCCGGCGAATTGGGCATTCCGATGCCGGTAGTTGATATTCCGGCAGATGTCCTCGAGCCTGTTGCGTGTCATGACACCTTCAACCTGCGCTCGGCCGTCTTCGCCCTCGTATCCAATCGCAGCTGCGAGCTGTCGGTGAACGAGCAAATCCGCATATCGTCTGATAGGAGAGGTAAAATGTGTGTAGATGGGAGAGGCCAAACCGTAATGGCGGAATTCAGACTCGGCATGTGCACCCGCACAAAAGTATTCCGCGGATGTCATGCACCTGGTGGCAAGGATACGGACCAGAGTATTAAAGAATGGGTTCTCTGGATCGACGCATCGGTCAAGGGAGTCAGCGAGGGCCCGCGAGCTCGACACATCGAGTTCCAGATTGCGTTTCTTCGAGAGCTGGTTGATGAGCTCCTCAAAGTTCTGTGGCGGGGGAGTGGCGTGCCGACGTAGCAAAGCAGTCTGGGAAAAGCTATCGTAGATCTTGGCCGCGACAGTGATGTTCGCATGAAGCATGAACTCTTCAACTAGACTGTTAGTTGCAAGCATTGCCTTCGTCTTGACATCCGTGAGCGGATCGCCCACTTCGTCACTGTCCGTTTCGATTCGAACTTCCGGTGACGCAAGATTCAGCGCTCCTGCATCCATTCGCTTCTGACGGAGGATTTTCGACAGACGGAGTAGGGTGCGCATGCTCTGAGTCAGCTCATCATTTTGCGATGGGTCGTCGATGCGCATTTGTGCCTGTTCGTAGCTGAAAGCCTCTCGCGAGCGAATAACGGACTTCGTGAATTCAGCAGACACAACCTCAGCGTTCGGAGTCATCTCCCAGAGGACGGAAAAGGCGTAGCGCTCGACATATGGCTTGAGAGAGCAGAGATCCGTGCCGAGAAGATGCGGAAGCATGTCAATACGCTTGTCGACTAGGTAGACTGTCGTTCCACGGACGCTAGCCTCCAGGTCCATGGCATTGTTCGGTTTGACAAAATGTGACACGTCTGCAATATGGACGCCAACTTCAAAGTTACCGTTAGGCAAAGGCCGCGCGTGGAGGGCGTCATCAATATCTTGGCATCCAGGAGGATCAATACTGCAGACCAGGATATCCCTCAGGTCTCTCCGTCCTTTCCAACCCACATTTTCTTTGTCGGCAGGCACTTTCCAGTCGTGTCCTTCTGACGGAAGGCAATCCAGAACGGCCTTTGGGAATGGTTTGTACTGCACGTCATACTCAAGAAGTAGGGCTTCCGTCTCTGCTCCTTTGGTCTCTAGTTCTCCCAGAGAGCGAATGAAATGTCCAGTGGGATACCGAGAATCGCGATCCCAGGCGTCAATCGTGACTAAAATCCGCTGGCCCAACAGGTCGCTAGCCTGCCGAGTACGGACCCGGATCTTTGGAATACGTTTATCCATGGGTAAGACAAAGACGTTCTGTTGCCGCCGTCCAGAGCTGGCTGACGCACCCGTCGAACCTTGATCAACATGTCCGACGTACTGACGCCAGTTCCGCTTGATGACACCAACAACCTTAGCTGTGGGTTGCGGCCTTCCTTCAGAATTCTTGCCATGCGCCTTCTTGACTTCTTCCTGCAGAGCCTTCCGCTCCTTTTCTGTCACCACCTCTTCATTATCTTCCGCCTCGGGATTGTCGTTCCGCGTGACTGCTTCTTCGTCAACAAGCTTTGTGGATGGTGACTTCCACTGATCTTTCGGTAAGACCTCAATAACAACAATGTCCCCTGCAATAGCACGATTGCTATTATCCCGACCAAGGATGAGGAGTGGCTTATCAAAAGCTCCGACATTCACAGACCCTTCCAAGTAGTTGTATGGCGAGACATTGAAAACGCCCTGATGCAGCGTGCCAGCTCTCAGTCCAGTCATGATTTTCGACATCGAGTAATACTCTGGATAGAAAAGCTCGCCGCGAGCGCCCTTTGCGTCCCTTGCCTCCCTCGCCTCGCTGATCATGTCAAGTAGCCTGTCGGCGTCCTCCAAGCCGGAGACGTAGTCGGACAGCGACAGCGCTGTGACACCTTCTTCCTTTGCTTTGCGGAGATTTTCCTTGTCATCTGTGATAACAACAATAGCTGGTAGCGACTTCTCCTTCTTGCCCTTCTTCAGCGTGCTGCGAAGGTGTTCAGAGTACCATTTCGCCACTGCCCGTACTGCTCGGTCATTTCTGTCATTGATGGACTCATTCTGACCTCTTCTCACGTGAGTTTCCAATCTGAACTCATTGAAGAATAGGTAAAACCGTTTTTCGTCTGTCTTAATTAAAGAAAGCAAGCGGTTGTAGAGCGGCAGCGACTGGTTCTTGAGTTCCTCGAGGACCGTCTGAAGAATGATAACGTCGTAGAAAGCTCCCGTATGTTCAAACAAATCCATACCATTCAGCAGCGCGTTTGTATCAGGGACGAGATAGTGACCGCGAGGGAAAGCGCTCGTTCCAGCGGGTTGCTCTGAGAGGACGAAAGGCGCAACTATCCCACATTAGCAATCAACCTTCGCATACGCCAGGAACTCCAACTTACTATTCCCATTCGCATCTGCTGGCGCGATTGTAGGACATAGCGAACACAACTTGGACGAGCAAGGAATATCCTGTCTCAGATAAAGCTCACGTACAATCTTCTGCACCTTTCCACTTTTCGTGGACCTGACGAAGATTTTGCTGGTGACATTAGCGGCCTGCGGATCAGAGGAGAATTCCCTCCGTAGGCTCTTCATATTTCGTGAAAAGTGATCTGATACCTGTCAGACCTGGTTTTGCACAGAACACTGTGTATTTCCTAGCCGCAGCGCAGTGATTGACGTTTGTGCATGATCTGCTCCGGCGTTGAATCTCTGTCGGCGGAGCTTGGCGGTTTTAGGTAAGCCCCTCTCATATCGCTATCATACCTGTTATCGGTACTCGGTACGGAGTATTAAGCTAGGTATTAACAACCCTTGTCGATGACCATCCTACTACCCATTACTCGTTGTCCCTGGATTGTACATAGACACTTTTCTATCAGAAAGGAATCATAGACTACCCTGTAATATAACAATGGCCATTGCTGTAAGAGCCGAATAATCCCAATTTCAGCTCAAAGCCACCTTACTAATGAGATCCACAACAGGCAATCGGGCAACTATGCTCGACCGCGAGTATGACTTCGAACCTGGCTCAGTGTCAGGTTCTGGTGCGCAAGGCTGTGGCATCTGGTGCTAAAGTATGCTACACTTTGCCTCCTCTCTCATAAAAGCTCAGGCGCTCTTGAGACTTTGATAGCCTAATGCTGAACAGGCATTGTTCCTTCCAGAGGCATCAGACTACATTGCCTCTTCACCAGCAGAAAGCATATCGCTTGTGCGATCCGTGCAGGACAGCGTGTTTGTGCAGGGACTTCAGCGTGAAGCCAGGCAGGCAAGCCTGCATATCAACGTTGGCATCCATGAACCGGCGCCGAATGGCAAAGTCAAGAATACTCTGATCTGGATTGATGATAAGGGTATTATTACTCAACGCTACCAAAAGATTCATCTATTCGATGTCGAGATCAAAGATGGGCCGGTCCTCAAGGAGAGCGCGTAAGTAGACCCTAAGTAGAAAGCATGCATGCACGACTCACCTTTGCGGTAATAAGGAGCGTTGAAAAGGGTATGGAAATTCTGCCACCATTCAACACCCCTCTAGGAAGTGTTGGTCTCTCTATTTGCTTCGATGTGAGTCTAGTGGCCCAAGTTCCAAAGCCTGATGGAGAAGTTATCATAATCTTACATGCTACTTGCTTTACAGCTGCGCTTCCCTGAAATCAGTCTAGCATTAAAGCGTCAGAATGCGCAGATCATCACATATCCATCGGCTTTCACGGTTCCAACGGGACAGGCTCATTGGGAAATATTGCTCCGAGCAAGAGCTATCGAGACACAAACGTATGTGGTGGCTGCGGCTCAGGCTGGTCCGCACAATGAAAAGCGGAGAAGCTATGGCCATTCAATGATTGTTAATCCATGGGGAGAGATCGTGGCGAAACTCGGAGACGAATATCGAGAGCCAGCAATCGCTACCGCAGAGATTGACCTCAATCTCTTGGAGAAGGTCAGGGGAGAGATGCCCTTATTAAGGAGAACTGACATATATCCAGAGGTATAGCACCTGATTTAATTGATAAGACATTCAAACCAGGCCCAGTAGATCTTGTGCATGTTAAAGGCTACTCCGTAATACCTGCTACGTAATGCTCGTCTTAGGCGTTTTTGAAGGTAACCAACAAACATTGCTCTATCAGGCTAAAAGTCTTTCCTTTGAAAAGGTTCCTTGAGTGACTTCATTTTGAGACTTTCAGAAATACAACGACGACAAAAATCCCTTTGCGCAGAACAAGAATTGAAGGGACGAACAAAGAATTTGAAAAAGCACGTCGTCTAGGTTGGGCTCATACGCCATATGTATCACAGACCAGGTGGTAAGGCGCTTTTCATAGCCGATCACTCTATGTACAGTGTACAAGGAAAATCGGGAGTAATGCGATCACTTCTGCTGGACCTTGTCAGGGTCCTCCAGGATGCCCTCGGCCTCCAGCCTTCGTCGAGCCTCCTCTAAAGCCCACGTTTGTATCCTAGAAGACAATCAGTACCTATGATCTCGGAATAACGCAAGTCGATATGGTACGGCCGCTCATAAGAAGGGCCTCGGATGAATAGCACGCGGGAATGAAACGTACGAGGTATCAGGCTTGAAAATGTATGCAACACCAGCAGCGAGCAAACTGCCAATAAATCCGTAGTACCAAATGTTTTCCCATCCTTCCTTCACGTATTTCTGACCTGGCTTGACGCCGAAGAGCCATCCGGTGGGAGGGTCATAGTGATTACCGTGGTCAGCGGCGCGGAGAGTATTCCGGGTCGAGAAGCCCCTAGTGTTCTGAGGTCCGCGGAGAAGGCAGCGAGCACGGAGGGCTTGCGACAAAGGGCGAGCAGACATTGTGATTATTGTGAAGGAAACTGGCAGTGTTCCTTTGAAGGGCCGGTTGATAGTTGGAAGGCAACGCTAGGTAGAGGACCCCTGCCAAATATGCTAAGGAGGTACTTCGGAGGTGTGTAAAGAATGATATAGACTGGCGACAGCCACCCTGAGTTCAATTGGACAATAGCTCGATTCGCAGCTGTTGATGAGGCTGCGGTATGTGGAGGGGCGCTTGGTGTCCAGCGGTTGATGGTCGTGAAGCCGCAAAAGGCCGATAGAGCGGGAGCTTAGAGTCACCACGCTAGTCCCTGTTGAGGCAATCTAGACGCCGCCTTTCTGCCTGACATTACAGGCACCAGTATACACCTCAGGCAGGAGCCATCAACGCGCGACGCGTCTCCGTGTCCGCTTATCCCATGTCCTCATCGAAGGCAATCATTGTACTACGTCGAGACGATCACCAGCCATGATCTGGACGAATATTATACTTGGACTTCTGCTTTGACCAGAAACAACCCTCCTTTGTCCAACTTCCTACTTCAATGGTAGAGACGAAACTCTACTCATTGCTACAGCTCGTGTGAATCTGTAGTTCTTGAAGTCAGGCCGACATGAACCGATGTCCTACAGAAAGCTGAAATCTCGAAAAGCTCTTGAGCCATGGCTGGAAACTCGAACTCCTACCCGATATCCTCCAATTCACGTTCCAAGTTGAATGCCTTCCGGTTCAACAACCAACATACGAACAATGGAGGAAAGTCGCCTACGGAGTCGCTATTAAAGGCAGGTCACGAAGACAAGGAAAACCAAACTTCGTGGTTGAATGGAGTAATCAAACCATTGCAATCAGAGCCACAGAAAGAAGAGCCTTCTGGCGAACCGAATGAGCCAAAACCGGCCAAGGAGTGTCCTCAGACGCCAGGGAACAGGATACCCCTGGCCGATCTTATTAGCAATGCAGAAGACGCATTTAGCCGAGCACCAGGACAAGAATACACGCCGGAGGATCATGTTATCTGGCAGCATGTACCTGCGAGCTCGAACCCGGACACACTCTCTCAACCTTCCGCAACGAGAAAGAAACGGCGTCACAGCTCATCCCCCACCAGCTCTCCACTAGGTGCAAGCAAGAAGGGTGAACGGAAACGGTCCTTTGATATGCAATCCTTCCAAGCGCTCCTCAGAACACCGCAGAGCGATCTCGCAACAGACCTGTGGAACAATTACCTGGGCAAAGCTTCGATCAATCCAGAGGAAAGCTTTCCTCCTCCTCGCCTAGCTAACCTTCTCTCGTCTTCACCCCAAACACCTGCCTCGGCCGGCACCAGTAGGGATTCTTCTGGTTTGAGGAGGTCAATTAGTTGCAATGCGGAATGGCCCACCTCTAAAGCAAAACGGAGAAGATTGAATGGACAAGAGTTTGGTAGTGGGCGCAATATTTTCTCCCGATCTAAGAGTAATGTACTGGAGTCCGCAAAGACGAAATCTTCCAGACTCAACTTTTTGTTGGAAAAAATTGAGAGAAGCTTGCAGAAGCCCTCTGTCGCTCCAGCAGAAATGTCTGATTCTTCACCCGTGCCGAAACGCAAGCAAGTGCGACGGAGCCGATCAAATTCCCCTGTCCAGAGAAAGGCCGCCGCGCAAATGCCAGAGAAAGTCATTGGGTATGACGATGGGCTCGGTCACACACTTGTACAACCAAACGAACCCGAAGGCGTAGGAGCCTCTTCATCTGATTTCGGTGATGATGACTTGGATCAGGACTTTCTCACCTTGGCCGAAGCGTCTGAGGACCCATTCCTCGAACCAACCCGGCCCAACAACTATACGAATCCAATGAACGTCGAAGCCCCTGTTGAATCTACGGTGGAACAGCCTCGACGTCAAGTCAGCTCTTTGGGAGACTCGAACCATGACGCAGGAGCTCCTGGTTCGGGCAACCGGGAGTCCAGTGTCCGCAAAGCTGTGAACAGTGATGAATTCGACGATGACTTTGACGATATAGAGGATATTCTTGCCGAATGCGAGAGAACCGCAAGCTTGACTCCTCCAGTACCAAAAGCGTCAGCGAAGCAGCTGGCTAACGAACAACATTGTATGAAAACGAATACGAAACGACCATCTGAAACAGAAGGATTTTACGGCATTTCCAAGGGGAACTTGGAACCGTCCTCTGGTGACGAATTTGATGATGACGACTTTGACGTGGAGGCTATCGAGCAGTCTATGAAGCCAGGTAGAAATGGATCAGTCAACGTTTGTCGCTCTTAGTTGGTACTTTCAATAGGATTTTGCTAAATACATCAGAGCTAGATTCTTACAGACCGGCAAGCTATCAAACGATATTTGATTGTTGATATTGCAGAGAATGAATATGTCACTCAAAAAGGTCGCAGTCAGCCAGAGCAGGTTTGTTGCGGCCAAACTCATCAGATATGCCGTTGCTGGCTAACAAATCGGACAGGTGCTGTTGGTTCAGGATGAAAAGACTAAAAACAAAAAGGCAGTAATCTTGCGAGAGTCTTGGTTCGACAGCCCATGCAATAAGGGTGCATATATTCACCTGACCGGCGATTTCGACGCAACAGGGCAATGCATTGTCGATGATGCCCATAATATGATTATACTTCATCCAGACCATCTGATATCTGCGACCGTTGTCGCAGACTCCATCAGTTGCCAGCGAAGAGCAGTTCTCCAGGACCGTATCAAGAATTCAAGCGATATTAGCAAGCCTCAGGTGTTCGGAAATATCTTTCACGAGCTCTTTCAGGAAGCTATGAAAGTCAACAAATGGGACATGGGTTCTTTGAGAGCTTTGGTAGAAGCTATTCTTGTCAGACATGTCGAAGACTTATACTTGATCCAAATGAGCATGCCGGAAGCCGTCGAGTATATGATGAGCAGAGTCCCAGCTTTGAAAGCCTGGGCAGAGGTCTTTCTTCGAACTACTCCGAGTGTAAGTGCACCCTGCAGGCGTTGGGATGCTTGTTGATTAATCGCCACTCCAGGCCGAATCTGTTGTTGAAGACCGGCATAGCTCCAAGGTCAATCTGAGCATCAATAAGCTGCTTGAGGTAGAGGAACACATATGGTCCCCGATGTATGGGCTCAAAGGCAACATCGATGCTACAGTCCAAGTTGCATGCAATGACGGGGAGGGCAACAGAAATCTGGTTGTCCCTCTGGAGCTCAAGACGGGCAACAGAGACACAAATCAGGCGCACAGGGCTCAGACTGCCCTTTATACCTTGTTGCTATCTGATCGCTACGGTAAGTTTTTAAGCCTCAATTATGCTCCGTACCTTGTCTCACTGATGCTACTCTTTCAAGACGTTGACGTAACCTTCGGTCTGCTCTACTATCTCGAGATATCGAAAATATTCCGCATCCGTGGTGTCAGACATGAGCTCTTGCAAATGATCCAGGAACGTAACCGCCTGGCGGGTTTTGTCCGTGAAAGACACCAACTTCCACCAATGGTTAAGAAACCGGGAATGTGCAACAGATGTTACTCAAAGACGCCTTGCTTGATATATCATAAGCTTGCGGACGACGGAGATGGCGAAACCAGCGGACTTGGCGACGAATTCGTCAAGGCTATGGACTATTTGACGCCACAGCATCGAGACTTTTTTAAAAAATGGGACGATTTGCTGACGAAGGAGGAACAGAGCATGATGCGATTCAAGCGAGAACTCTGGACCTTGTTGAGCAGTGAGCGAGAGGCTCTCGGGCGTTGCTTCGGCAATGTCGTGATACAACCAGGGTCTGCATATGAAGACAAAGAGAGCACAAAGATTAATCGCTTTAGATATACCTTTGTTAAGAAGCATACCTTGCCTTCGTTCTCTTTCACTGAGTCACAGCTGACAGTGGGAGAGCCGATCGTTGTGTCCGATGAGAAAGGTCACTTCGCGCTCGCCAATGGATACGTTGTGCAAGTCAGCCCAAAGCACATAATGGTCGCAGTCGATCGGAGATTGCACAATACGAGAACAAAGACAAAGGGATTTGATGCAAAGAAGAATCAATCATTCCGAGGCATCATGGAAGTACTGGAAGATAGCTCTAGCTCCTTCCCTTCATCCACTTCTAACGACCCGGAGGAGGAGATTGTTTACCGACTGGATAAGGATGAATTCAGCAATGGCATGGCAATTGTTCGAAACAATCTCATTTCCATGATGGAAAAGGACCTCTTTCAAGCAAATCGACTCAGAAAGCTTATTGTCGAGGGAGAAACACCCATTTTCAATCCCTCACCATCAGCTTTTCCGTTGTCTGACTCCGCCAAAGCAAGCCTAAATGTCGATCAGAAAAGAGCCATAGACAAGGTCATGAGTGCGCGAGATTATGCACTAGTCCTTGGCATGCCCGGCACAGGAAAGACGACAACCATTGCCCATATCATTCGAGCACTGGTGGCGCAAGGAAAGAGTGTTCTCCTGACCTCCTACACGCACACCGCAGTCGATAATATCCTACTAAAGATCCGAGACGATAATTTCCGCATTCTGCGGATAGGAGCTACTGCAAAGGTGCATCCTGAAGTACAGCAATTTGTCGATCTTGCAGCAGTCCCTAAAACCACCGTCGAAGAGTTAAAAGCATCTTATGAAGAGTCACAAGTAGTCGCGACGACTTGTCTTGGCGTCAACCACAATATCTTCAATAGACGCATATTCGACTATTGCATTGTTGACGAGGCCTCGCAAATCACTCTTCCGGTATGCTTAGGGCCGATTCGAATGGCGCGAACATTCATTCTCGTCGGGGATCATTACCAATTGCCACCTTTGGTGCAAAACAAGGAAGCCCAAGAGGGAGGACTCGATGTCAGTCTCTTCAAGCTCCTTTCCGACGCACATCCTGAGTCGGTGGTCAATCTTGAGCACCAATATCGCATGTGCGAGGATATTATGGTCCTTTCCAACAATCTTATTTACGCCGGGCGTCTGAAATGTGGAACTCCTGCGGTTGCATCGCGCTCTTTGGATCTGCCCAACATTGCCGGTCTCAAGTTGCACCATATCAACCAACTACCGCAATCACCGAGTCAACGGCAATTTTGTTTGGGGACAAACCAAGGTCGCTGCTGGCTACGGGACGTGCTTGATCCGTCTGCAAAGAACCGTTTCATCAACACAGACACGCTTGCAATCCCAGCCCGAGACGTAGCAAACGGTGCCAGGATTGTAAATCCAACTGAGTCTTCTATTTGCGCACAGCTCGTAGAGTCATTGGTTTCGTGCGGCATCCCAGCACGTAACATTGGCGTCATCACATTCTACCGCAGCCAGCTCTCTCTATTGAAGCAGAATCTTCGTCGATTCCTACCCGAGCTTGAAATGCATACAGCCGACAAATTCCAAGGCCGAGATAAGGAAGTCGTGATACTAAGCTGTGTTCGAAGCAACGCCGACAATAATGTTGGCGATCTTCTCCGAGATTGGAGACGGATCAACGTCGCCTTTACGCGCGCGCGGACAAAGCTTCTCGTTGTTGGAAGCAAGAACACTCTGCGAGACGGCAATGATCTACTCCGCAAATACATAAGCATGGTGGAAGAACAAGGATGGATATATGATTTGCCCAAAGGTGCTTTGGAAAGCCACATCTTCGACTGCGACGTGAGCTTTACTCCATCCCTCGATGCAAACAAATCATCATCCAAGGGGAGCAGAAGTCCCGCAAAGACTTCTCCTTCGCCAAAGGCATCTCGCAATCCACTCAGCCCAATACAGGGCCAACAAACGCTTCGAGGTCTCAAAAAACCCGCTAAGAAAGGGGCCAAGCTTCTAAGCGGGAATAAGGTCATTGGGAATAGACCTGTGTTACAGGACGTGGTAAATGAACTCTTTGGTTAATGACTCGCGGAGTTGGTGCACCTATGGATGACTTTTCTCGTTGTTGCTTCGTCGCTCTTGAGTTTTGTATAACTGTTTTACCTTGGTTAACTGTCTTCTTTCACCGAATTGGGGTGATAACCGGATCTCATGGAGGTTTCTGATCCTTGCAGGCTTTCTTTTGGATAATACCACAACTACCACAGCCTTGACTTAAACGATAGTATAGCTTGAACAATGATGTATTAAATTATTGTCAAGGCTTGCGCCATTTGTTACGAAAAGAAGGGAAGCTTCTGTGGAATGATAGTCATTGTAGCATTATAAGACCGAGGCTCCCACATATTCCCAGCAAATACAAGTACGACTGGTTTTGGTAGGAGTGTCTGCTCCTCCTTCTTGACTGTCCTGAGTACTGTCAGTGTGTTGGGATCGTGGCAACAGCATGACCGTATATCCATCCTTCGCTTCCACAGCTTCCCTTCCAAGTGCACTTGATGAGAGTGCAAACCATGTTGATGCCGGCGAGGATTTTGAGGCGGTCTCACGCCTAGTAGGCAACCGAGTCAGTAGAGCCGTTACAGTTCTGGCGAATATGGCAGAAGAGGACTTACAGCATAGTGATGAACAGATCTAAAATCCAGCTGGCGGGGACGAAACCGTGCCATTTCAGGGAGACCAGATTGGTAGATCTGAGATGTCCGTCATCCGGGACGCTGTAGCGGCTTAGGTATGGGTCGATGTTGTCATCTTTTGATACCCGCGGAGACCCGAGGGCTACCATTGCCAGCCATTCAGAAAGATTCTCTGAATCCTCTTTCAAGGTATGTTCTGAGGATGCTTCCGCGAAGGTCGTCTCGCAGAAAGAGGGAGCGATGACGTTGGGGTAGTGGGTACGGGGGACATCACAGTCGATGATTTGTGGATGATTGCCTTTGAGGGTGGGATCTCCTTGGCTTTTGTCAGTTCTACTATCTTTGTCATGAGATTTAGGTCGTACCTTCGGAGATTCCGTTGGCGCCTGGTGCCAGGTCGTAAAAGAGCCAGGCTACGGAGTGGTCAAGAACGTTTTTGAATGCCCAGACGATTCTGTCAAACCCCTTCTTGCCGTGCAGCATAGAAGGCAGCCGCAGATTGATTTCCACAACTAGTGATTCATTTCATTAGTTTCTGAGTGAGCATGGGATGATGACGGGTCTGACGTACGATATCGCTCTTTGGCATGTTTCCTTCCCCCGCTGCGGATGGGTTTCCCTGTCAGTCCTGTCCGTTCGTAGACCTCCTTGCCGATCTCTAATTTCAAGATCCCTGAAGCATTGTCAGTTCGGATATACTGCGCATCTTCCTAAGTGAACGTACCATCTTTGAGCGTGTAAACGTTGTCTGAGCCTGACCGCCCCTCGGATATCATGAGGATATTGCCTGAGTAAGAGGTTAGAACTAATGGAGATCGCTTTGCGAAGAGGTCATGAAAGGCAAAAAAGAATGGTGTACCAGTCTTGATGTACGTATTGAAGAAGTCTCCTTCAAGCAGTGCCGAAGGAGACATGAACACCCTCGCATATCGAAGCTTTTGGACTTTCGCATCCAACGAGTCCTTTACGCTTGAATAGACCTCTTCTGGAAGTATGACCTCTACCTGTTTTCAACGATTAGTTCACCATCGCTCAGGAGTCCAAAGCAGTTCTTTAATTCTTGAAATTACCGTGTGCACAAATGGATGGTTCACGATAGCTGAAAAGGGCGACTTTTTTGTCGGTGGCTGCTTAGAGTCGACAAACGCAGGCAATTGCGCTATGGTGGTGAAGCACTTTTCACGCCTGGACGCGTCGTCATCGAAGTCCAGCATGATAGGATAATCCCCTGCCAATAAGTTCAAAATGTACGTCTGAAACTATATCAGAGAGTAGTCCGACTCGAGATGAACTCGAAATGGCGCTCTATGCCTCGTATACTTTGAGAATGTGTTGTTCTGCCGTTTGGGTCGGAAAAGTGTGATTTGTAGATAGAGCTTGTGGACCGGAAACTTCTTCAGCCCTACAGGGCTGTCCTTTGGAGCATACAGGTATCCAGATTTGGTCTTTTGGTTTATCGTTCTAAGTCTATGCCTTATAGAAAGCTGAATAGTAAAAAGACCTCCTTTGTCTGAATGGATACGGTATGAGTCTACTCAGATATTCCTATGCCCGGTTCCAACCAGAATATATCGACGGATATTACTGATTCCCGTGAATGGTCTTCCCGGCCTCCTTAAGCAGCCAGAGTTTTATTTTGTGGTGATAGAAAGCGTCAACACTTGAACAAAAACGATTAGATTATGGCCTCTTGAAGGCGAGTCGAATACAGTTGAATTGGCGAAGACAGTGTAGACTATATTAGCGATCGGACCACAAACAGAAACCCTCTTTGAAAGCCGATCATGGAGGTGGCCCCATATGAATCTTATACAGCAGATGTGATCATGGACCTCAAGTGATAAATTGATTATTGCGTGGATCGCGCTCAACTTCATAAGAGAGGAAGAAGCTTGTTATACATGTTTGTGCCTGAGGCATACATCCTATCTTTTCCTGATAACAGATGCAACGGACGCATTTGTTACCTATTGGTTGTTCCCCAACTTTGTCAATGCGCCCTTACTGAGCGATCCTCTGCAATTGATCTCGCAAATCAATATTAGTTCGGTCTCGTATATATTTTGGGCTTTCTCTTGCCAGTCGCGAGGGTCAATTCCTAATAGCACGAACCACAGCCCTTCGGGGCATGCATGTGGGTTTCCACTGCTCTCCGCAGTCGCACGCACTTCTGCCCGCAGCTCCCTCGCAGCAATAGCAAGCGATGGCTCCTCCACCACGACGAAATCTCCTGCCAAAGGAGCGATTCGCATTCGCGTTCGGTAGCCTCAAGACTCAAAGCTATCATGACCCCATTGCGAGGGGTCCCGGGTCCCACACGTGCGTCTTCATCTTAGTCCGCTTGGTGACCTCACCTTCAGAACCTCCAAGCTGACCGCGATTGTTGCTTCGCTACCATAGGATCCGCACGATAGCGTGGAATCCTACCGGGCAGCTCATCGCTACAGGCTCGGCCGATCGCACGCTTCGCATCTGGAACCCCGAGCGCCCAGCAGTCAAATACTCGACCGAACTGCGCGGCCATTCCGCGGGCATCGAGAAAGTGTTATTTAACCCGGTTAGAGACTCCGAACTGGCAAGTTGCTCGACGGATGGTACCGTCAGGTTTTGGGATGTGCGATCGAAGACGTGTGTAAGCCGTCTCGATGTCGGCGGAGAGGCCTTCACAATGTCCTGGTCGGCGGACGGGAGGGTCCTTATGGTGGGAAGAAAGGTGTGTTGAAACAACCATGGGTTACGCCTGGGACTTCAAATTCATAAACGCGAACCGGAGCATGAGGCCATGAGAAGCGACGTATCGAAAGGGGACTGACTTTTTCCGGATCCCAGGACGACACCTTGATCCCCATTTCGATAGAATCGCCCTCTTCCTCGTATATTCTGACAGACGGCGTCACCAACCTCCCCCCTGCATCATCTCCAAATTCAAAAGAAGGATCGACAACATACACCGCACTAGAATCACATCCACAACCTGTACAGACCAACGCAACGACCTTCTCCCACCACATCCCCACGCCCAGCTCTCCCGACTTGCATCTCTTCGCCACAACAGGCGAAGGCACCGTCAAGATCATGTCGTACCCGTCCTTCGACATCCTCCACACCCTTCACGCACACACATCTGCATGTCTCTCTATAGCTCTCGCGCCTACAGGCCGGTACCTCGCCGTCGGTGGCAGCGACGCCCTGATCTCGCTCTGGGATACAACAGACTGGATCTGCCGACGCACAGTCTCGAGTAACAACGGGGGTGCCATCCGCGGCGTAAGCTGGAGCTTCGATGGGCGTTTCGTCTGCGGCGCCTGCGACGAGGTAGGCTGCGGCGGGAACGGCCTAGAGATCTTCCATGCTGAAACGGGAGAGAGCGTCTACACAGTTCCTACGGGCGGCAGCAGTGCTTCCGGCATACCTGCTGTTGCGTGGCATCCCTCGCGTTACTGGCTTGCGTACTCGACCACGGCTGATGGGCCCGGAAGTGCGGGTGCCGGAGGACTGAAGATTGTCGGTGCGGCTGGTGGAAGCTTATGAGGCTTAGTTATTATATGCCATGCAGCTTCCTCAGCCTTGCTCGCCTTACTGTAGTATGTACTTGGTTTGGAAGATTGACTTGTTGGCAAAACTGAACCACAGGAGTGGAATGGGATCTTTGCTCGTGGGATGTGATGCACTGAGGCTATTTCCAAGTATTAAATCTGGTATGTGCTGATAAGAGCATTATACAAAACGACGATACTTCCTCCATAGTTGTTATCATGTTACATTAGGTAAAGACTCCAAATAGTCATATACACCGGAACTCCAAACGTCAAAGGCCATTGAAAAAATCGTTACTTGGCCGCTATCAGACACCCGCCAAGCGTAAGGGTATCACGTATATCCAGCAGATGAGCTTGAAAACTCAATCAATTTCCGAATCCTGCTTTTTGAGAAGCTTGCAGGTTGCCTCAACAATGTCAGCCGTCGAAAGCAGCCTTCTCGGTTAGGCTTGGTTTCGCCAGGCGTCCCAGTTATTGGAACTGAGGAGGTCTGCCCACTGGCTCTCAGTGAGAGACCCCATTGTCGCGGGCGGTATATTGGTATTTCCTCCGTCGGAAGTTTGCATAGCAGCAATATCCCATGATGGAGGAATGGGGAATGGTGGGTCTGGGACAGTAGTGTCGAGAGATGGCATAGCGTCAGTTGAAAAGATGTTATCATTATAAGCGAAATTGTCAAACTGCCCAGTATTCGCGGTGCGTGATGGCATTTGCACCGAATCACTGTTACCGAGCACATGGCTCGGTGCTTGATTCGAGAAATTGAAGGGCGAATGTTGCCGTACCTTTGGCGATGATGTGCTACTAGCACCGACGTAAGATGTGTTTGAGGACGATTTGACGGCCG